CCCCCCCCAACCCTCGATAACCTGGCACATCAGCCAAAGAAGCAACGAGCCGCATTGGAACTGGGATCCAGTACCCAGTTGCAAAGCTCACCAGCCGGTCATCCATATAGCTAGGGCAAACAGTTAAAAAACAGCCCATCTACGCAGCCGTTAAGACAGCCCATCTACGCAGCCATTAAAACAGCCTATCTACGCAGCCGTTAAAACAGCCCATCTACGCAGCCGGGCAAGCCTACTACCGTCTTCCCCCGAATACAACGTACGGTCATTATAGCTGTATTTAGACTTAAAGATACCCCAAATTCATCTATAATGACCGTATGTTGTATTCGGGGGAAGAAGGTAGGAGTACTGTCAACTGACTGCAATGATGAAGTCCTCATCTCCTCAAAGAAGTGGAGAGCGCTCTGTGCTAAGAAGTGGAGAGCACTCTGTGCTAAGGAAACTGACGAGATAACCTTGGGGGACTCTGCTACACATCCTCACAAGGGCACCCTCCCCCTCTTCCCCCAAAGAGTCCAGGCTTGGGACAAGCTCCTATGCATAAGATATCTGCAATCCTCGCCTCTATACCTGTCGTCCAAGTGCGAGAACTGTGCATCCCTTCAGAAACTCCAATTCAATCAGATATGATGTCTCTCAGCCTATCTACTTCGCCACAGACGTCACAACCCTCCAGAAGTCCAATCTCATCACACATAATCACACTCACTCTTTCTTCTTATTACCATCGACAGCGGCAGGCGGCAGGCAAGTATTGGTGCGTATTGGTGTCGATGGTTGTGCCCCTGTCACCAAAAATCACCTTTCTCAGGGGTGAGTATTGGTGTTGGGTCTGAGCGGTGCGGTGTGAACTCTTGACAAGTTTCAGCTGAAGGGTAATTGTAACACCTTTCTAACTATAGTAAAGGGAAAAGAGCCAGGTGATTTTCCCTAGAGGGTCAACAATTCTTTTTTTCGAATTTTTTCCCCCTATAGTAGTATAATCCCCTCCCCCTCCCCCCCCCAACCCCACCCCTGAGACTGATTCTAAACTCAGAACTGTTGCCATTCAGGGGAGAAGATGAAGTGCCAGAAACACCAGTCTCTAATCACAGGAATAATAACTGGGAATGTATTCCCTGGGACAGCTGGAGTTGATTCTCAATTACCATCATAGTAGGCCCCACCCTGGGACAGCTGGAACCGATTTGCCGGCACTAAGTTCATAGGGAGGCGTGTCGTCAAGTCCATACGACCAGAAGATACAGGGGCAAAGAAAGTAGAACAACTCTGACTTACGCAAGAGCCTAGCTCAGTGGGTACACCCATGAAGTGTTGAAATACAGACCCAAGTTGGAAACCAGATGATGGTACTTGATGAGTAAAACCAAATATTTAGCACAACTCCCAACTCCAACTCCAACTCCAACTACAATCCAATAAATCACAAGCAGCTCAAATGGACCCCTGCCTTTATAGCAGCAACACCATTCCTTACACAAACTTGCTGTTTTGCTCCAGCCAGCAACTCCTTTTTAAAAGTGGTAGAGCTCCTCACATTGGCATAGCCATCTGATTCAGTCAGGATTTGAACTTGCACTCTGTTGATCAACAACAGTTACATGTCCATATGACTCCAGACCATTCAGCCATGGCGGCTTTGGTACTTCCTTTAGTCCTCCATATATCATCACAAACAGAACTGCCCGGTAAACCGTAGGCAGAGAGAGAGAAGAGGTCGAAGTTGGGAAAAGCTGCAGAAAAGTGAAAAAACTTCAAGAAAGACAAATCGTTCACTTAAGAAGGAACCTCAAGGAAGCCTAAAGCTGACAGAAAACATGGAAACACGGGCAGCATGGTCGAACCGTTGAACATAAACGACCAACGAACAATCGACGGTCTCTGCAGTCTCGTCAAACAACCAGTGACGAAGAGCAAAAAAATAATGAACTCTTTGAAGCAGAAGCTAAAGCTTTCAAAACAGGAGGCAGGCTCTTGCAATTGCAAAAGGAGAAAATGACTTATCATCATATACCAGAGAGACATATGCTCCTGACACGCTGGTATAGAGTCTACAAACACCCAGCAGCAATTGGATTTGCTCCGCACTCCGGCTGCCTGCATTACCGCCGACAAAATAACATAGTTGTGCGCAAAACCAGGCAGCAGATTACTGATCAGAGTGGTCTAAGGACAATGAAATACAGTGGAGAGACCCGCCTCCCTCTCCCCACACCCACCCCCACCAAAGCAGCAGCTAGTTATTATTCGATCAACTCGCTGATGGGAGGTCGGTCCATCACTGTTGCTGCAGTCCTGGCCACCCTCTTTAGACTGATGTCGATGTGCGGAAGGTGGCGGAGTTGTACGAGGAGGTCTATGGTCCGCCGAAGAAGGCGAGCAATGTCTCCCTCGTCAATTACACAATCCATCATCAACTCGCTCCACGATACCCCAGACGCCCATGCCTCGACCATGCCCGCAAACTGATCATCCAGTTCAATTGGCATGTCGACACCCTCTTGGAACTGGGCTTCACAAAAAGCCAACCTCTTGGGTTCAATTGCTTCCAGCCAGTCTACGACAGGTTGCGACGGTCTGTACAGCGTCATGTGCGTTGGTAGTCCTTTGCCGAAATCCTGCCGGACTTTGATATCCGTTACAAGGGTGGCACATGCTGACGCCAGCTCTGCAGCCGTCAGACGGTGCGTGCTAGGTTCACTGAAGGCGACGGCAAGCCATAGTTCATTTGTCCCGCGAAGTGCAGCTGCCATCTGGCCAAGCGGCAAGAGCACTTCTTCCTTTGTGTCGATTGCACGAAGGCGTTCCAGCACCTTTACAACATGTGTAAACTCCCTCCAACCAGTGGGTGCCATCCTATCAATACGCTTCCTCAGTCGCTCTACCTTGCCGCCAAGGCTCGTTATATTCTCCTCTTGCTTGCGGATTGCATGCAGCGCCTTTTTCTCCTGCTTATACTGCGGCAGGCTCTTAAGAGTCTTTCTCAGCTTTGACACCACCGTCCTCTGTTTCTGCAGGGCTTTCTCTGCACTCACGACCTCGGAATCTGACACATCCACGCTGCATGGCAGCGCCCCTGCCTGAGGAATCGACGCACTCCAAAGCCACGTGTCGAACGAGCCTTCTCCCAACCACACATGACCGTAAGGCGATGAGTCGTCCTCAGGGGTCACACAAGCCCAGTTTCTTGAACCTAACCTGATCTTTTCTTGAAGCTCTTGCGTCAGGCGCAGTTGCGCAGACTTGGCAGCAACAGCGTCGGGTGCGACTCGATAAAGTTTTGCTGCATACTTGGCCGTGAACACATACCAGTTATTGTCTGGACCCAGCCCAACGTAATAACGCACTTCGTCTACCCGCTGTGGCTGCGCATGGTTGGCCCCTCTTGCTTCTCCAGCAGACGATTCGTCACCACAGGGGTCAACGCCATAGGTATCTGCTGGGTTAGGGCCCCCAGCTCCCATACGATCCTTGCCCCCTCGGGTCGCAGCGAACCCTCCCTCATCTGCAATTTCAGCCAGATACGAATCGCCTCCTCCCAAGAGGTTGTCGTCGCCAGCAGTTCTGTCGCTGCTTCGTACAGCTCCGGGGGCAAGCCCTCCACCATGAGCACTTTCACCAATGTTCAGATCTCCCAACTCACGATTGTCAGCATTGCTTTTGGTGCTCAGCCACCTTGAAGTAAGACCTGCAAAGTCGTCATCGCCGTCATCGTCGTAATCTTTGTTTCCTTCCCACGGTTCATCTTCAGTGATGAAAAACGGTCGGGGAATGCTCCCGACTAAGAACACACACATGCATTTGGCAGCACGCGTGGACTGATCTTTGAAACGGAGCTCTACGAATGGAGCATATTTCTGCGTCGCCAATTCGTCGTCAAGCAACAGCTGCATCCTTGCGACTCGCAAATCGTCGAGAAGGTCTCGAAGCCTCCGCAAGCTCCGTTTCTCCATCTGAACTTGCTCTTTCAGTGCAACATACTTCTTCCAGGCCGCTAAACTCCCATCCTGAGGCTCCTCCCTCAACTTGCGTACTGCCTCCTCCTGGTTCAGCGCCAAGTCGTCGAGCTCCTGCTCGAGTCTTCTCAGCTTCTTCTTGACCATAGCCGTAGCCTCATTTCCAAGATAGTTCCCAAAGCTTCTTTCTACCAGGGCCCTGGCCTCATCCATAGTTCTCCCCATCTTCGCATGCCCGGATTGTGTTTGGGATTGGCTTTCCGCTGGGAGCGGAGTCCCACCGGTCTCCGTGCGTTGCTGATACTGCCCTCCTCCCTGAAGAAGGTTCAGCACCATTCCATATGTGGCAGTGAACTGCGATACCAATGGGTCTACCCCTCCGAACAGGAGACTGCAGCAATCCTCTGGATCCTCAAATGGTGTCTGAACAACCACGACATGACCCTGCTTATCTATTCCGCGCCGCCCAGCGCGCCCAGCCATTTGAAGCATGGAGTTGGCTGCCAGGAACTCATGTCCGTTCTCGCCACGCTTTCTGAGCGCC